GTGGTCATGCTTCTGAGAAAGATATATCTGCTATATGTTTTAATTATACCTTTCCTCAGAGATTGTTTCTCCTTTCTGGAATGTCTCTCCTTTCTGGAATGTCGAAAGTTTTAGCATAAATCAAAACAAAAGTGCTTCTCAGCCTTTGTAGGCCTTCCTGCAAAGCTTAATAAATATTCCTGAATTAGCATGGCCTCTCGGTGGCTTTAGAGAATAGGGCAAGCATTTTATCTTGGCAGTTAGACACAGAATAAGCATTAATTAGAAGCTTACTGGAGTTTTGGGAATTTTTTTTTTCAAGAGTAAAAACTCTACAGTTTACACAAATCGATGCATGATATATTGTTATTGCTTTATGAGATTTTTTTTATCCTCTTTCTAACATCAGATGCAGTGTAATTAAGTCAGTACAAGTGAATATGTGTGTGTTTGCATTTGTTTATTTATTTATTTATGATCTGTGTATGTATCCACATGTTATTTTGGGTTATTAATCGATTTTCCTCATTGAATTCGGGTCTATGAAAAGTCCCTGCAATGCACTTTTTCAACTTTTGAGGAGGTATGAATTATTCTTTTATCTAATTTTGCATTGAATACCTTCATTATCACATATCTACTGAACAGTGTTGTTATTCTATTGTGTTAATTGTAGTACCTCCATCTGTTCCTCACCTGTGTAGATGGCTTAAGGCGAAGAATTTCATTGGATAAAGAAGGAGATGCCTTGAGTTTTTCTTTGATTAAGGAAACTTTTCAGGTTTGGATACATTTACTTCTTTACCTTTAAAATGACTTTTGGTTCAGGTTGCTTGATTATAATAGCTACAATCTATCCATGTGCTTTTCTGTTGTTTGAATTTACGAGTTTTGGTCTATATCAGCTAACTGCTATGTATTCCCTGCAGTAATATTGTGTTCTGACCAAATCCAAAGACTTCAATTTGATCCAGAAATCGATTCGCTGGTGGGATTCTCACAGCGTCTCCTACAAAAGGATTGTAAATTAGCACACTGTGAGTCGCCGATGAACCATCGATTGTGGGATTGGGATTGGGATTGGGATAATACCATAGATACTACCAACCAACGTCACCCAGTGGAGAGATCCTTCAACTAGAACCCCAGGTGGTTGTCTGATTACATCCGCCAATTGCGAAGGCGTAGCTCCTATATTTCTCCACTCTGTTGTTACTACTGTAAACACCTGAGCCGTTAATTCGTCCACATCTGGCCTCGGGCCCGTCGTGTACCACACAATCCTGACCACTTTGAATTCTCCTGTCCTCGGATGGAACCCAAATCCAAAAACTTCCCTTTGATTTGGAAAAAGGTTTGCTGGTGGGAGTCTCACAGCGTCTCCAACAAAAAGATTGTAAATTAGCAGACTGTGAGACGCCGATGAACCATCGGATGGGCCCGAGGCCAGATGTGGACGAATTAACGGCTCAGGTGTTTACCCTGGGAACAACAGAGTGGAGAAATATAGGAGCTACGCCTCCGCAATTGGCGGATGTAATCACACAAGCACCTGGGACTCTAGTTGAAGGATCTCTCCACTGGGTGACATTGGTTGGTGGTATCTATGGTATTATCCCAAATCCCAATCCCACTGAGAAATATGGGTGACTGCGGTTGGGATGGGAGGAGTCGATCCTATCTTTGGTATTATCTCCTTCGACCTTGCATCTGAGGTGTTCGAAGAAATTCCGCACCCACCTTGTCAACGACTTGTGTCAGATCGCTACAATCTTTCCGTGCTCAGTGGGTGTCTA